TGTGGAACTCGGGGACCAACAGGTTTCCCCCCCAAAACTCACATTCATTGACTTTTTTCCCTTTTTCAATGCCTTCTTGATGGTCTTCTTCATCGAATCCTGAAACAGGTATCACTCCGCATGTAAAGAAAGTGGATTGTAAAAGGTCGAAACGCGAACTTTCCGTTGCGCACGGTGCATATAACATCCAGCACTGAGTCTTCAACAATCTCGATGGCAACGTCGGGTCCGAGCAAATCCTGAATTCGTTCTTTCATTGCTCGTGCTTGAGGACCTCCTTGTGTTCGTCCCTTATCGTCACCCTCCTCCCCTTTCAGCTTCACTTGCAGCCTCTTCAAGTTATCGAACGCCACAGGCGCTAGGCCGATCACAACAAGCTGATCTGCCATGCTTGGACCTTCCTGATCAGCAGGAACAAGAGCAGAGACGGGTTGAACGAGCGTGGTGGAGAAAAAGGGTTGATGCGTCGGAGTTTTGTTTCTGGTTGATGCGTTAAAGCAGCTCGTTACAAATGGAAGGGTTTGCGCTCGAATCGACCACGCTAAAAAACCTTGCAAACCTTGGGATTAGGGCGTGGGATCTGAAACTCTGGATGATGTTGGAACATGCTGCTCGAACGTCGGCGAACGGGACCCATTCTCACGAGGCGTATCGAATGCTCCCAAATTCCAACAGTGAACATTCGTATAAGGATGCAGAGGAACCCGGTCGCGAACACATCTTGAGCAACGGCCTGTCTATCGCAACGACTGTTCATTATCAGCTAATGAACCCTTCCCTTCGCGAAATGTGTGCACGACGAAAATCGACGACGTCGGAGATCTTCTTACAGTCGCATCAGGTCGCATACCCGAAATTCAGACACCATCCGAATTTCAAAATCTGTCACGCCGTTCGACTTTTGGGGTTCTGAATTGGGAGTTCCACGCCTTTATGCCACGCACCAGCACAAGTTTTCGCAGCCCACAACAGCTGCTTCGTTCATTTTCTCCAGTTCAGGCCAAGTTTCAAGGGCATTTGAGAACGCTCTGTTGGAGATACTTACCTGCTTTTCCTGGTGATCTATGGCACTTGTTCCACGCTCGCGGGAGATTGCGGAGAGCTGCCTAGATTTTCTCAACATTGAGCTCGTTGCCACGTACGCGCGGCAGTCCAACTTGCGACCAGAGCTCGCTGGTCGTCGAATTGAGGCCATTGGCTTTCAAGTGGGTCAACAGCTGGTCGAAAGGTAGGTGCCTCAAATCATTCTGTAAAGGAGGTTGAGCGGCGAAACCTAGGCGTGTAATTTATCGCTGATGCAATCGACGATCATGAGGGATACGGACTTATCAGTAATAAGTGGCCATCTGTCACCGAGAGAGTAAGGCCCAGAGTAGAGGCCAGTATTGAGCATGCTGCGCGGGGGTTGGCTGTGCTCCCCGCGTCTCCTTCCGACAGTATATCACCTTTCAGATCACCTGGAGCTGTGCAGTTCTTGACGAATGGTCAAGTAAATGGAATGTTAGGTATTATCCAGGCTGATAGAGTTAGAATGCGGTCATGTTGATCCGAATGCTTCAACTACAACAGCCTTTCAGTTTATTTGAGACCCTCCTCCTGGTCCTTCTCAACTGTCGTTGCATCCCGCCCTTATCCCAGGTTCACCAAGGACAGAGCCCGATTCACAGATCACTTGGATGTGATAAAGTTCATCTGCAAGGACTTTTGGGCCGAGGTGTTTAAGAAGCAAGTGGACAACCTCAAGACCAACCACAGAGTGAGAATAAGGCGCATGGCCAGCAGCAGCAAGGCATTTTTGGCAGAGGTTGCAAGCTTTAGCCGATGCAGGGACAGACAGGATAGTTGGGTCGTGAGGTGCAAGACATTAGGTGGACAGTAACGGAGAGAACAAAGCACAGTCATTACGGGAACAGTGCAAAGTTGCAATTGTCGTAAGACACCAGCACAGCAGGTAAAATGCACTTCTGATCCTGTGCAAAAAGCATAGTCGATCTAGATTGCAACACACAGTCAGCTCAGGTCATAAGACTCAGCCTGCCCTCTTCACAGTCAGCCCACAGCACTGCATACTTGGTTAAGGGTTGAGGCACAGGGGGCGTCTCAGGCAGAGTCGCCGCACACAAACGTTATGCGTGCAATGCAATGCATGTTCAGCAGTGCTTGTTGCTGTCTTGCTGAGGTGCCGAGGAAGCTGATGAATGTCCCCCTTTTCAGCCGTGGATGAAACTTTAGTCCCATCAATTTTCCCCTATCCTTCGTTATTCTCGGGCTTGCTACTCATTGCCAGTTTTCTTTGCACGTGCCTAGTCCTAGCTTAACCTATCCCTCCTTCCTTTGCGTCCTTTCGTTACCCTTCCAGGGAGTATTCGTTCTGCAAGACAACAAGTTCAGATGGCTCACGAGAATATCAGCAGATGCTCCATCGTATGACGCGCTTACGCCTCTTCCAAACCCTAGTCCCAATCTTCGATCGCCGACGGAGCGCATGGCTGGAGCTGGAGGGGCAGTGGCAGGCAGCATGAAGGCGTCTGCTGTTGCAGGGCAGTTTCTGTATCTGCCATGTGGGCTTATAAAGGGGGCGCTTACCAACCTTGGAGTACCATGCACAGTCTCGGCGGAAGTCACTACACTTCCTGGTTGTAAGTGCAATAACATTGCTGACACTTTGATGAAGTGATTTGGATGGTCACGGGCGTGATTGAGGTGTGTGCTGGGTGCTGTGGATGTCATGCGGATTCTGTTTTGAGAAATCAACTTTATTGTGTCTGAACCGAACCCATGTTTTTCACATGCCTTTCTGCCCTTGTCAGGTTCGTTCACAGTGAGAATCAAGTCATGAGCACTACCTAGAGAATGTATGCGGTGCGGGTCCGTTGTTAATTTGTACGGTATTATTCTCTTGTCTAGTTGGTAGTTAATCACGTACATGGTTGTGTCATGACTGAAGCTGTTGCTAGAAAACCAGTATAAGAAGTACACAAACTTTTTATTGTACTAGTGTTTCTCAAGGTAGGTTGGTAATAACGAGTGCACGAGCGCGCCCTGCAGGGCTTCCCTTGGGATTGGCTTCAGGATTTGAGCGCGCACGAGTTCCTGTCATTGATAACAGGGAGTCCAGGACATTTCCGCATTCACGAAGCCATATCATGGTGAAGTACCATATAGAGTGGGGCTTCAACATCGCATTCAGCTTGTTTTGAAGGGAGCTTGCTTTCATTGGTGGAGGAGATGATGGCCGAAGCAAGATCCAAGAATGTCGTAACACCTCAGGTTCCTGGGCATCAATCATCACTAGAAAAGCTTCGAGTAGCTTGGGTTGTCATCGGTTACGCGCTAAGTTCCAGTTTGCTGGCCATTGTTAACAAGGTATGCCTCCCGAACGATTTCAGTACCTCTTGATGCATTCTGAAAAGCGTCTGACCAATTTTCCGTTTCCAGTATGCAGTGACTGTTTTCCCCTTCCCAGCAATTCTCACCGCGCTTCAGTACCTAGTGTGCACCATTGTTACGCTCGTGCTGGGAAGATTGAAGGTGTTGGAGCATGATTCTCTCAGCCTGGAAAAGATTGTCAAGTTCTTACCAGCAGCAGCGACGTTTTACGTTGCCATATGGACAAATACTCAGCTCCTCAAACATGCCAACGTTGAGACATTCATTGTGTTCAGATCTTCTACACCGCTGCTTGTTGCGATAGCAGACTCAGTGTTCATGGGGAGATCATGGCCATCTGGTTTCACATTTTTGTCCTTGCTGACGATATTTGGTGGTGCTGTTGGCTACGTTTTCTTTGACACTGGATTCACTGTCACAGCGTACGCGTGGGCTTGGGCATATCTGATCGTCATCACCTTCGAGGTGAGTGTCTCTGCTCTGCTTTCATTACGCAATGGAATTGCGTGGCCTTGTTCATTATCGAGCTTTTGGTGCAGATGGTCTACATCAAGTCAGTCGTTATGAGCATAGGGCTCAATACATGGGGTCTGGTGCTTTACAACAATATGCTAGCCCTGGTAAGACTCGGTGCACCACAATCGTGAAAGTGAGCTCTCCACACCCTTGCTAATACTGTTCTCTGATACGTTGTGCAGATATTCTTCCCTCCTGCACTGATTGGTATGAATGAGCCAAGTCAAATTGCTGCCTATGGTCTGTCCCGGATATTCAGCATAGGGACTCTCTTCCCTGTTGCACTCTCCTGCATTTTTGGCCTAACCATAAGCTTCTTCGGCTTTGCTGCACGGAAGGCAGTCTCAGCAACTGCTTACACTGTTGTTGGAGTCACAAACAAGCTTCTCACTGTCCTCATTAACATGCTGATATGGGACAAGCATGCCCAAGCGCCAGGATTAGTGGCCCTCCTCGTATGCATATTTGGTGGAGTGTTATACCAGCAATCAGTTACCCAAACGCAGCCAACAAAGACCATCCCAGCTGACATCGAGTCTGTCCCTCTGAAGAGCATTAAGTCAGAATTTGGTGACGGCAAGCCTGTTGTACGAGTTCAGTCTGCTGAGGCAGCTTCAGAAGAATAGTGGATGGCAGAAAAGGTGGATATGAGTCAGTCTGTGTTGGGAGTAGGGTACGGTAGATGTACCATAGTGCAATGTACCAATCTCAGTTTCTACATGCTCCATAATGTTATATTTTCAAGCTTCAAGATCACAGTACCATGCATGGTAGGGTGGCTCTGACCTGAGCCCCAAATAGCTTCAGGTTGCTCCAGGCTTTGCGACAAGCTTCAGTCTCAAGCTCTTCCACACACTGTTATTTATAACTTGAACCAGTAACACAACCAAGAACACCACAGCAACCATTTGTCTAAAAAAACTTACTACTAACACTAGGAAATTCACAAAGATGTGGGGAGAAACGGGTCGATTGAGGTATACCTTACATGACACAAGTGATGCACTCCTCCACACATCACCCTGTCTTGGTGCAGGAGCACTGGCAGCTCATGGGGTTGCTGGCACTAGCACAGTTGCAATCGCACCTCATCTTCACGCTGCCTCCAGTTGGCGGAGGGGGGGGGGGGAGTTCCCCCCCCCGCCACCACCAGCACTAGGCAGGGCACTCTGCAGGACGCACTTGCTCTTCACGCGGTCCCAGTTAAGCTGCACCAGGAACTTCATCCCATTCAGCCCCACCACATTGTACTTGTAGCTCTGCCCGCTCTGCTGGTAACCAGTCTTTGTGGTGCCATATTCCCACGAGCATTTGTCCGCATTCTCCTCGCCGTCGTCGTCGAACCACCCCGCATTCGCATCAGGGTCGGTGGCAGCTTCGGTGAGCTCATGCGCGAGCGTGGAGATAGTAGCGTCAATACCCGGCTTCCCGTTGGGTGACGTGCTCTCTACCCCGCACGCGTCGGGGCACTGCCCACGGTGCCCCACAAAGGCATAGCGAAGAGGCGAGGAGTTGATTGAGTCTTCCGTGTGCCAGCCGCAGTACTCTGTGCAGTAGCCTTTGAGCGTGACGTCTGAACTGGTGAGCAGCACATAAATTCCGTGAGGGTCCAGCGCAAAGGGCTTGCCCGCACCGACTTTGCTCTTCACAACTGCATGAGCGGCACAGGACGGGTTAACGGTTGGGGAGGAGTGAGGGTTGGGGGGGTTGATAAGGAATGGATGCACCCATGCAAGGTGCAGAGGCAAGGGGAGAATGAGTGGCGCACATGGGGGTGGAACGGAATGAATGGTCGGTAAGGAGCAGCACGTACCGGCGAACACGTCATTGTCCGTAAGCTGCTTTTTGATTGGCTCAAAACAGAATGAGAGCAGAGTTCTGAGTCAACTAAAAAAGGAATGATTGGCCAGGAGGGAGCAGCAAGTACTGGCAGGCACATCATTGCCTGTCAGCTGCTTCTTAGTCGGCTCAAAACAGAAGGAGAGCAGAGTTATTGAGTCGACTCGAAAAGGAATGGGTGGTCGGGAGGGAGCAGCACGTACCGGCGATCACGTCGTCGTCGGTCAGTTTTTTTCCGCGTGAATAGTTGTCACTCACTGTCCCCGCGAGACGAACCTGCATTCAGGCAGATAGCCGGCAGCATGAGGAACGTGGATAAGGGAATGAATATGGACGCAGCCGAATAGCAAACACCACAGAAAGCAGCAGATGAGTGACTTGCTCCTCAATCTTCCTCTCTCACCTTGGAACTGACATTCTTCTTCCCGCCAGAGCCTGACTGGTAGTAAGCGGTACTAATGGCCCACCACCCCTTCACACTCGCGTCCGCCGCGCTGCCCTGGCTGCCCGAGTCGCTGCTCAGCGCCTGCACGAACGCGTCTATCACCTCCTTGCCCGACCCCGACCCCCAGCTGCCGTAGTAGATGTGGTAAACGTTCACCGTCGGATTTCCCACGATCACCGGCCCTCCGTGGTACTTGATTGGTGGCGCGCTGGCGGCCGGGATGACGGCAGCGGCGGCGGCGGTGGCGGCGTGGGAGGCGCCGTCAGTGACTGAGGAGCGGAGGACAGCCGACGGCTGAAACGGTCGCGCCGCCACCGAAGCCGCCGCGAAGGACGGAGGTGGAGGCGGGCTGGTGATGGTGCTGCCGCTGGTGCCCTCGCGGCTGGTGCTGCTGTCGGCTCTGCATCAGCTGTGCGTGCGCGGGGCGTGTGAGAGACACGCGCTTCTTCGGGCCGGCGATCGACTCCGATTCGGCCGGTCGAAGCGCGCCGCCGGAGACGAGAAGCAGGAGGAGCGCGAGGCGAAGAGCAGGGGAGTGAGTCGCGAATTTCGCCGCCATGCCGGCGAACGTCGTCGAATGGCGAATGGAATGTCGTCGAGAGACGCCGCAAGTCAATAGCATCCGTTTACTACATTCCACTCAATGTAGCTTTTGTTTACTACAGGCGCTCGAAGGCGTTGTGCTGATAGAAGAAGTGCCGCGACCAGGCATGCTTAAGAACATTATTAGTACCCGCAACCACGACCCGTGCAATGCCCGAAGCGCGGCGGCGCCAATCAGACAGGTAGTAGTAACGGATTGCTCGGCGGATAGTAACGGTCAGGCGCGCGGTTGCGAGTTGTTGCAGCCGTCGCCGCCGTCGCGCAACGCTCATCGTGAAATCTCCTCGTGAAAATGCGGCGCGGTTCGGTTTGGTCTCGCTCGGCAGTGCGACTTTCGGACGGATGGCTGGTGGATGAAACGCGAAGAAAAAAGGCTTTCACGTGGCAGTTGCTGGCAAAAGGCTCTCTCATTGACGTCCTCCATTCGCCATGTTTCCGCCGGTCCCTCGTCGCCACTTGCTGCCGAGCGTGGCACGACGAACGTGCTCAGCACTCGGCAGTGGCTGTGTCGCGTAACGCTATTTTCTACATAAAAGAGCAGAGCAGACATGGGATATACAACGACCCGAGTCCCGACATGGAACAGTGGAGAACAAGATGAGAACAGAGAGCAGAAAAATACGGCAAGACGGAGCAGCTGCTAGGAAGAAGAGAGAAGCAGATCAGGGAGGGAGGAAAAGAGCTGGTTCTTGGCGAATGGCGGCCAATCGCGAAAACCCTGGAGTGTGGGACACGGGTGTTCGCGAGGCAGACGCGACATTTCGACAATTCGCCAGCTACGGATGTGGGGTGGATGTACGCGTTTCTTGTGTGCTCAACAACGTAATAACCTTGGTGCTAATGTCTCGTTAATACTTGGGGCTAGACGTGAGAGTGATTGGGCTGGAGTGAGAGGTGGGGCTAGGAGTGAGTCCCCTAACCAATGTTCACCTTTGCTACAGACTGGTGGTACAAGCAAAGGATACTTGGAGAAAGAGGCTGAGAAATCAGTGCGGATAGACAAAGCATTCTTGCGTGAATAATCAGCAGCATCAGCAGTTAAGAAGACTGATGAATGACCAGCCTAGGTACAGGAAGGAGAAAAGCAGCTCCTAAAAAAACCCTCCCAGGTAAAGCCTGAACAACATTGTTCAAGGTCTTAAGGCCTGCTGCCTGTTAGCCTATGGTGCAAGAAAAACCCTGTGACCAAGGCTCTCCTGAATGCTCGCAACATGACGAATCACATCCGCCATGAAAAAGAACAAACTCGAGTCCCTCCCATCAAGCCCGCTTTTCCCAGCAGGGCTGTCCGCAGGCTGCCGGTTGTTACCAGTGAAATTAGTACACGGGCTCCCTCCGATGATCAGATCAAACGGTCCGTATTCACTCACCAACGATTCCACAACCTCCCTGTTCAAAGACCTCACATTGTGATACAGCTGCAATAACTCCCCCAGCATCTGGTTGACCCCATCCCTCCCAGCCCTCTCCTCCGCCATTGCGGTTTCCCTCCACCACCTCCCCTCGGCATCGCGGCAGCTTTTCTCAAACTCCACACTCACGGCGCAGATCACAGGGACTTTCACCATGTGGAGCGCTACTAGGGCGCCACCGATGCCTGAGAAGAGCGAGAGGACCCGGATAGGGCGGTTGAGGCGGCGCAGGACTGAGAGGTGGAGAGCGACGGTGGGCACGTGGAAGGTGTTTCCTGTGAGATGGGGCGATGGAGGGATGGGGATTGGGAGTAGCGAAATGGGGAACAGTGATTGGGGAGCAGGGAATGGGGAAGGGGAATGGGTAATGGGAATGGGGAAGGGGAATGGGTAATGGGAATGGAGGAATGGCGCCTCCATGTGGAGAGCAACCAGGGCGCCGCTGATGCCTGAGAAGAGAGAGAGGACTCGGATGGGCCGGTTGAGACGACGCAGGACTGAGAGGTGGAGAGCAACGGTGGGCACATGGAAGGTGTTTCCTGCGGGGATGGAGAAATTGAGTGATGGGGGGATGGGGGGATAGGGGGATAGGGGGATAGGGAATGGGGGATGGGGGAGCGAACAGGGGGATGGGGGAGCGAACAGGGGGATGGGAGGGGAGTGTGGGGATGGGTTGCAACTTAGCGACAACTCAAAAAGTCTTGCAGAGGTGGTGACTTTTGAGAATTCTCAAAAGTATCTTGCAGAGGTGGTGGAGGACTGAGAGGTGGGGATGTCGAAGGTGTTTCCTGGGGGAAAAAGGGGGAGCCGGGGGAGTTGGGGAATGGGTTGGAAAAATGACCAAGCTTCGTGTCAACTCATAAGTCTTGCAGAGGTGGTGGAGGACAGAGAGGTGGAGAGCGGTGGTGGGGACGTGGAAGGTGTACCATTGGGATAGGGCGATGGGGGGATGGGGGTTGGGTTGGAAACATGATAAACGTTATAAGTCAAGTGAGGAGGGATGAAGGATGCAAAGAGAAAGGAGCAGCGAGGGCAAAGAGCGAAAAGAAAAATGCGGATGAGAGTAAGGTAAGGTTGCTGTGAGAACGCAATGAGAGGAAGGTTGCTGTGAGAACGCAATGAGTGGAAGGTTGCTGTGAGAACGCAATGAGAGGAAGGTTGCTGTGAGAACGCAATGAGAGGAAGGTTGCTGTGAGAACGCAATGAGTTTTATACATCTCAAAGAGAACTGCAATGTTCATCTTCTCACTCTCATTCTCATTCTCATTCGCATTCTCATTCTCATTCTCATTCGCATTCTGATTATCATCCTCATTCTCATTCTCAGTCTCCATGGCCATTCTTACCGAGCATCTTATATCTGCTGGTCTTGTTGTTGGTGACCACGCTCACATGCCCCTCCGGGTATCCCATCAGCATCTCCAGCTGCTTCACCTTCAGCGGAGCGAGGCGGTTGCGCTCAATCCACAGCAGATTGTACCTGATTGGTTGGGAGAGGGCATTCAAAAGAGGGGCATTCGAAAAAGGGGCATTGGAAAGAGGCACGGGATTGCACTAAGTCCAGATATGGGAGTCACGCTTCTTGCCTTAGTACCCCATCTGTTCCTCCAACTGCAGAGGAGCGAGCCGGTTGCTCTCAAGAAACAGTTATTGACAAGGGACAGACCCCGTGGAACAAATGCAGCACGAGACTGTCACTGAAAGCAAAACAAAATGACATGCCATAACTCTCTGGTCAAAAGCAGGGTTCCTGATGCCTCCACTCCACACCCCACATATACACCGTTCCACTTCCACCCCACTCCACTCCTCCCCACTCCACATGACTCCACTTTAATCCATTCCGCATACACTGCTGTATTCCACTTCTCTCACCCCTCCCTCACTCCTCCCCTCTCCCTATCACCTCCTCCCCCTCTTTTCTATCACCTTCTCAAAAGTATCAACTCACTTCCTGATGCATTTCAGCAGCTCTTTTTGTGTTTCATATGGGAAGCCCATGCACAGTGGGTGTGTCTTGAGTCGACTCAAAGCACACCTCTCCCCCCTCTTCCCACCCTCCCCCATCAACTCACTTCCTGATATATTTCAGAAGCTCTCGCTGTGTCTCCATAGGAAGCCCATGCGCACCGTGCATCTGCAACTCATCATTCCACTCCTGCAGCCTCACAGCACATCCTCCCCCCCTCCCCCCCCCTTCCCACCCTTCCCTCCCTCCCCCATCAACTCACTTTCTGATGTATTTCAGCAGCTCTGTTTGTGTCTCCGGAGCAAGCCCATAAGCACCGTGCATCTGCAGCTTATCATTCCACTCCTGCAGCCTCACATCCACTCCAAACGCCTGCGTGTTAATCACATTTAGCTTTTCCCGAGGGTCCCAGCGCGGCCAAAACTGCGTCAAGCAGGGAAACGCCTCGGAGATCGTTTTCGGGCAGTTTCGAACCTCCTCGGGCAGCCACCGGCTTTGTGTGGGTAAGTTGTGGATGTACCTGTTAGGTTGAGGGGGTTGGAATAGGAGATACGGGTTAGTGGGTGGGTGGGTGGATAAGAGGAGACGAGTGGTCATGCAGGTGGGGGAAAGTGCGGAAATACCAACAGGGCTTGAAAGGAAAGAGCTTGAAAGGAAAGGCTCTGCACATGAGTGCATGAGAGAGATTCTCATGGGAGGACTAAATGTGAACAGAATAGAGGATTGAAGGACTGAAATTACTGAGTGAATGTAATAGAGAACTGAAAGATTGAAACTACTGAGTGATGTTTGGGATAGAGTTCATGTGGGAGAGAGAGAGCATGTGGGAGAGAGAGAGCATGTGGGAGAGAGAGAGCATGTTTAGCGTTAACACACATAAAGACACACTCAACCTGCACTCACCCCCTCTTCCTGCTACACACGCCCAGATGAGCACTATTTGCGGTGACTCTTGAGTCGACTCAAAGGTCACCTCTGCTACACACGCCCAGATGAGCACTATTTGCAAACTCACATTCTTCTACGCACTATGCACACGCAGCAAACACACTCACCCCACACTCAACCCCCCATACTCACCGCACCCACACTCGCCCCACAATCACCCTCTCTTCCTGCTGCACACGCCGAGGTGAGCACTGTCAACAAACTCCACCTTGAATGGCATGCATTGATGCACACATATCCATACACACTCACTCACCCTCTCTTCCTGCTGCACACGCCGAGGTGATCATTGTCAACAAACTCCACCTTGAATGGCATGCATTGATGCACACATATCCATACACACTCACTCACCCTCTCTTCCTGCTGCACACGCCGAGGTGGGCACTGTCAACAAACTCCACCGGCAGAGAGAACAGCTGGTTTGACATGTAACCCCACTCCGCATCCCTGATATTCTCCACATAGATCATGATACTCCTGGGAGCGAGCTTCAAGTCAGCAGGGTTTCGCTGGTAGGGCATGATGCGGGGAATCCCGCCGAAGCCACACATGCGCGAGAAGTTGGTATGGTTGCAGCGGAAAGGGGTTTCGGGGGTCGCCGGGTGGGTGGGGTGGATGGCTTGCATGCCGCGAGAGGAGTGCACGAGGTTGGGCGCAGGCGGAAAGTTTCGCTTCTGTGGGAGGAGAGGAGAACAAGGGACGGGAAAGGGAAAGGGGCTTCAGTGGTGGCGGGGTGGGTGGGGTTGATGCCTTGCATGCCGCGAGAGGAGTGCACGAGGTTGGGCGCGGGCGGAAGGTTTCGCTTCTGTAAGAGGATAAGGAAAGGAGGGGCAGGGGAGGCAGGGGGGGAAGGGAGGAAAGGGGGGCAGGAAGGAAGCAAGTGAGAGGGATAGAAGTTGGTGGGGTCGCAGCGGACGGGCGTTTCGGGGGTCGCGGGATGGGTGGGGTGGATGGCTTGCACGCCGCGAGAGGAATGCACGAGGCTGGGCGCAGGCAGGGGGGGTCGCTTCTGTGGGAGGGAGGGAGGGAGGGAGGGAGGGGGGGTAGAGAGAGAAAGGGGAAAGGTGGAAGACGAGATGAGTGCACGACTTCTGGGAAGGGACGAAGGGAGGGAGGGAGGAAGGGAGGGGAAGGGGGGAGAGCGGGGGGTGGGTGGCTGAGAGGGCGGCTGAGAGGGATTGTTTTCCAGGATGCCATGGGCGGATGGTTGGGTGCCGTAAGAGGGGTTTCGGCTGTAAGCATTTGTTTGACCTCTTGCCTTGGAAGCATTTCCCAGTCCACCACTCGCCACACTTGCCTTGGAAGCATTGCCCAGTCCACCACTCTCCACACTTGCCTTGGAAGCATTTCCCAGTCCACCACTCGCCACACTTGCCTTGGAAGCATTTCCCAGTCCACCACTCGCCACACTTGCCTTGGAAGCATTTCCCAGTCCACCACTCGCCACACTTGCCTTGGAAGCATTTCCCAGTCCACCACTCGCCACACTTGCCTTGGAAGCATTTCCCAGTCCACCACTCGCCACACTTGCCTTGGAAGCATTTCCCAGTCCACCACTCGCCACACTTGCCTTGGAAGCATTTCCCAGACCACCACTCGCCACACTTGCCTTGGAAGCATTTCCCAGTCCACCACTCGCCACACTTGCCTTGGAAGCATTGCCCAGTCCACCACTCGCCCCACTTGCCTTGGAAGCATTTCCCAGTCCACCACTCGCCACACTTGCCTTGGAAGCATTTCCCAGTCCACCACTCGCCCTGCGCTTCTGACCCGCTGCTCCCCCAGCCATACCACTCAGCATCTGCAGCAGCAGCATCTACAGTACCTGCAGCAGCACCTGCATCACCTGCAGCACCCACTCACAGCACCTGCATTGCCCCTCCCACCTTCGACAACGCAAGAATGTGAGTTACTTGCCTTGGACGCATTGCCCAGTCCACCACTCGCCCTGCGCTTCTGACCCGCTGCTCCCCCAGCCATACCACTCAGCATCTGCAGCAGCAGCATCTACAGTACCTGCAGCAGCACCTGCATCACCTGCAGCACCCACTCACAGCACCTGCATTGCCCCTCCCACCTTCGACAACGCAAGAATGTGAGTTACTTGCCTTGGACACATTGCCCCTTCCACCACTCGCCCTGCGCTTCTGACCCGCTGCTGCCCCTGTCACACCACTCACAGCACCAACACCCCCAACACCACCCACACCCCCAACACCACCCACACCCCCAACACCACCCACACCACCCACACCACCAACCCCATAGTCATCCTCACCCTCCTCCTCCTCCTCCTGCTCATCATCCCACCAATTGCCATCACCCGCACCACCACCAGCAGCAGCACCACCACCGAAACCACTAATACCACCATTCCACTCCCCTCCTCCTTCCTCCTCTTCCTCATCTTCCTCCTCATCCCACCAATTTCCCTCCTCCTCTTTGCATTTCCCCACTCCCCTTCCGTCTCCACCGCCCTTCACTCCCCCTCCTCTCCCTCCTCTCAACCCCCCTCCTCCGAACCCTCTCCCTCCCCCCAATCCTCCCCAACTCCCTCCCTCCCACCCCTCCTCCTTCAAACCTCCTGCCACGCTGTCACGCTGAGTCAGCATCCGTGCCAGCTGTCGCTCTACCCCTCCCTTACCAAAACCCCCTGCCCCCACCGTCCCCATACCACCACCTCTGGCTGTATTGTTCCCCCACCGCTCACCACCGCATCCAACCCCGCTGTCCCACCCCTCATCACCACCCCTAGCTGTGTTATTCCCCCACCGCTCACCACCGCATCCAACCTTGGTACCCCACCCATCACCACCACCCCTGGCTGCGTTGTTCCCCCACCGCTCATCACCGCATCCAACCCTGCTGGGCCCCGCCTGATCGCTGGGTCTAAAGGGTGCTGCTCTGGGTGCTGGGGAGTGAGGTGGAGCACGTGAGACTGCTGAGGTGGTGGGTGGACGGGTGAGGCCCGAACCACCTAAGCCTGGTGGAAATGAGGGGAAGAGGGGAAAAGGGGAAGGGATGGGAACAGGGGAAAAGGGGAAAGGAAGGAAACAGGGGAGAAGGAAACGAAGTGTAATAGCATCTGTATCCGCGCCAAAGGAAGGATAAGTGGGATGAGGTAACGGGGAAAGTGGAATAAGTGGAAAGTGGGAAAGCGATGAGTGGGGGGGATAGTGGGAAGAGGGGAAGGCGAAAAGCAGGATAAGCTAGTGGAAGTGGGATAAGTGGGAAAAGAGGGAAGAGTGGGGATAAGTGGGAAAAGAGGGAAGAGTGGGGATAAGTGAGAAGAGTCGGCTCACCAAAGTTGGATGCCCCATCCTCGTCTTCATTCAACCAGCCTCCCACGCCCCTCCCTTCTGCTCTCCCACCTGCCCTCCCATTAGCAGCACCAGCAGCACCACGAGCAGCAGCAGCAGCACAGCCACTACTTCGAACAGCAGCACCAGAATAAGCGCCTGCACCACCCCTGAAACCACCAACTCCGAAACCACCACCCCTGAAACCACCGCCGCCAACACCACCACCAACACCACTGCCAACACCGCCACCAACGCGACCCCATCCTTCTCCGTACTTCCCTCCTTCATCCTCACCATAACCTCCCCCCTCCTCCTCCTCATCTTCCTCCTCCTCCTGCTTCTGCTCCTCTCCCTCTCTCTCCTCCTCTTCCTCCTCTTCCTCCACCATCCTCTCATGCACCTCAGCAGCAGCAGCAAAATCCACAGCCTCTGCCACCCACCGCTCCAGCTCCCACCCCCCCATCCTCGCATCCTTCCTTGTCCTCTCTACAATCTTCCTCGCTTTCCTCTCTTGCATCCCCATAGTGCCCATCAACCATTCTGCCACTGCCTCTCCAGTGTTCTCATCAAACTTATCCCTTTGCTCGTGTTCGTTCCCAAGCCCCCCGTTCTGCTCGTTCTCACCACCACCAAACCCACCCCTTTGCTCGCTCCGACCAGCAAACCCAGAATCAAAGCCTTTCGTTCCCAATTCGGCTGCCCCCGTCCCTCTCTCATCCCCTTCCCCTCTTCCCACTCCCCCTCCCCCTCCCCCTACCCCTCGCCCCAGCCCTCTTTCTTCCGCTCCCCATACCCCTACTAATGCTCCTCCCCTTTCCCCTTCCCTTCCAACTCCAAATCCTGCTCCTGCTCTCTCTTCTGTTCTCACTCCACCAAATCGCACCACACCACCTCCCACCGCACCGCCTCCCACCGCACCAATTCTCTCCCCACTCTCCACCCTCTCTTTCTTCACTTCAACCACATCACCATCCCCATCACCATCCCCATCACTATCAGAATCTTCATCCTTCTCCTCCTCAACCTTGTATTCGCTATCACTACCATCATCACTACCATCACTATCATCACTATCATCACTATCACTATCAGCTTCCTCCTCCTCATTATCCTTCCGCATACTCGCCCCAGCCTTCCTTCTCTCCCTCTCCTCCTCCCCCTTCCCCTCTCCTCTCTCGTTCCCCTCACCTCCTTCTCCCTCCTTTCCTTCCTTTCCCTCCTCTTCCTCTTCTTCCTCCTCTTCCTCCTCCATATCCCCCTCCCTCACCTCCCCCTCCTCTCTCTCCTCAGCCTTCACTCCTGCGATCTCTTGTATTCCTCCATCCGCCACTGTCCCCACCTTCCCCAACTCCCCCACTCGTCCCACCTCCCCCTCTCTCCCCCCCATCACCACATCCTCTACTGGCTCCGCTTTCACTCTCACCTGCAAACCACTCACTCTCTCTGCCTCTTTCACTCCCCCCTTTACAACAGTTCCCCCCTCTCTCTGCTTTGCTGGTGTCTCAGGACCCTTAGCACCTCCCTCTCTTGACTCGTTCACTCTCAGTCCTTCTTTCTCCTTCACTCCCTCTTCAGCTTTCCCTCTCAGTGGAGCACCGCTCACGCCCACACTCCCTTCGTCCTCCAACCATTCGTTCACAGCACCAGCATAATCACCCACAGGAGCAGCAGCACCACCACCACCAGCAACACCAGCACCAGCATAATCACCCACAGGAGCAGCCGCAACAGCACCACCAGCAACACCAGCACCAGCACCTGCAAAAGCACCATCAGCAGCAGCAGCACCACCACCAGCAGCAGCAGCACCAACACCCCCACCAGTAGCCATTCCTCCTGCTGCCTCCTGCCTTTTCACCTCCTCCCCACCCTTAGTCACCCATATCAGCGGGGTAAAACCGCTTCTTCCCTTTGCACCCACCCGACCATCAGCACCAGCATCCATATTCTTTGCCCCTGCCTTCACCTTCTGAGGCCTTGCATCACTCAAGGGAATGAACCCAATAGCCCCATCGTCATCCCCATCACTCTCATCACTACCACCATCACCATCACCACCAAGGCCCCTTTCCCCTCTATAACCCCTGTCATCACCTCTTGCAGCAGCAGCCACCCCATCTCTCCCACTACCACCTTTCCCCTTGGCTGCTTTCCCATCCCGTCCCTCCTCTCTCCCACACTCCTCCCCTCCTTCCCCGCACTTAAGCAATCCATTCCTACCGTTCCAAATCCCTCTCTTGCTGGCGACAGCAAGCCCTCCCTCCCCTCCTCCGACACCCTTCTCCTCTTCTCTCACTCCCCGCCCCTTCTCCTTCCCACTCTCTCTCCCCCATCCTCCTGTCCCTTTCGCCTCCTCCTCCTCTTCCTCCTTGCCCTCATCCTCCTCCCCAATCAACAGCCTCCCTCCCCTCCGTATCCCTCCCTCTCCTGCTCCCCATCCCTGAGCTCTCTCTTCCTTCCCCCTCCCCACTCTCTCTTCCTTCCCCCTCCCCACTCTCTCTTCCTTCCCCCTCCCCACTCTCTCCAACACTCTCCTTAACTCACCAACAGCCCCAATCAGCCCATCACACCCCTGTCTCCCACACCAAACACACCCCCAGCTCCCCCTCCCCAACCCCTCCTCTCCCTCCTCTCCCTCCCCGCTTCCTTCCCCCACTCCCTCCTCGCTCTCCCCTCCTCTCCATCCCCTCGCAGCCCCCTCCAGCAACCCACACACCGCCTCTCTCTCGCTCGCCAGCATATCTCCCATAGACCTCGGCCACACAAAGCAAAGCCCCCTCACTCTTCTCCCACTCATCCCCCCCACCACATCCCCAAAGTGAGTGACTCTCCTGCTTCTACTGCTGCTCCTCCTGTATCCGCTGTGTCTGCTCCCTGTCCTGTGCCTGTGCTGCTCGTGCCAACACACCCCTTCTCTCCGTCTCCCTATTCCTGCTTCCGCCACCACTTCTTTTCCTTTCCGTTTGTCTCGTCCCTCTGCCCCTCCCTTCCCACACACAACATCCATGCCTGTCTCTCCATTTCTCCTGCCTCCCTCCCCCCGCCTATCCTTTTTTTCACAATCATCCCACATCCTGGCAACCCACTCCTGTACCAGATCCGCCCCTTGCCACCGCACCCCACCCCACTCCACACCTTCGCCCCCCTCCTCCCCAACCCCACCTTCTCCTTTCCTCCCGCTCCCACCCCTCCTCCCACACATAAATCCACACAACGCCGCCCCACTACAGCGCAACCCACCAGACACACCTGCCCCACCCCCACCCCCGCCTCTCCTCCCCAATCCTCCTCTCCCCTCCTCCCCTCCTCCCTCCTCCTCTCCCCTTGCTCCTCCCCGTTCCACACTCACACCCGGAAGCAGCAACCCATGCAGCACAGCCCAAGAAAGGAGAGGGGTGGATAGGAGGCGAGGAACAAAGCTCTCATACTCTATGTCTGGTGACTGACAGACATATAGAGCAAGAGGTGAGTGTAAAATAAGGGTTGGAGGCGCTTCAGGGTCACAAATCGGTGAAACATGAAACCCTATAACGAGTATGGGCTCGTGAACCTTCACTAAAATCGCGTCCTCAGGACCCGCACCCCCACCCGAGCCTCTACCCCCGTTTTTGTCACATCCTGCCGAATCTGCGCCTTGCAGTTGAACTTGGGAGATTATCCCCCATACTGCAAGCCTCCCTTGCTGTATAGCACGCAGGGACAGCTCGCAAGATCGAGAAGGGTCAACGTCTAGATTGACCACTTTGAATTTGTTCAACGAGCGAACAGGCTTGCGATCAGAAAGAGACGGGAACGGTTTAGGAGGGGACTGAGAGGATGAGGGGATAGGTGGTAGTGCTGCTGCTGCTCCTGCTGTCCCTGCTGCCCCTAATGGCCCTGCTGCTCCTCCTGCCCCTGCTGTCCCTGCTGCCGCTGATGCTCCTTCGAACGGAAACAGCGCTTCAAACAATCCTTCCTCTGCCCCCTCTGCCTCACCCCCTGTGAGTGCTAGCGCCATGTCCTCATCTGGTACCCCCACCACCTCTCCCTCTGCCTCTGCTGCTGCCGCTCCTGCTGCCGCTGTCGCTGCTGCTGCCACTCCTGCTGCTGGTGCCGTTGCTGCTGTCGCTTCTGATGCCATTCCTGTGGGTGCTGCTGCTGCTGATCTTGCCATGCCTGGGAAAACGTGGAAAGAGGGGGGCGTGGAGGAGGAGCGCGAGTCGGAAAATGGGCATGGAACGTGGGGAGATAGGGGGTTGAGTAGGAGCATAGAAGGCGAGCAACGTAGGATAAGAAGAGGGGCACAGAGGCAGCAGACCAGCAGAGCACAGGAGGAGAGCGAGGCGGAAGATGGGCATGGAACGTGGGGAGATAGGGGGTTGAGTAGGAGCATAGAAGGCGAGCAACGTAGGATAAGAAGAGGGGCACAGAGGCAGCAGACCAGCAGAGCACAGGAGGAGAGCGAGGCAGAAAATGGGCATGGAACGTGGGGAGATAGGGGGTTGAGTAGGAGCATAGAAGGCGAGCAACGTAGGATAAGAAGAGGGGCACAGAGGCAGCAGACCAGCAGAGCACAGGAGGAGAGCGAGGCAGAAAATGGGCATGGAACGTGGGGAGATAGGGGGTTGAGTAGGAGCATAGAAGAAGAAGAGCAACGCAGGATAAGAGGAGCACAGAGGCAACAGACCAGCAGAGCACAGGAGGAGAGCAGGACGGTACTGGCAGAGCAGAAGAGTTGAAGAAAAGAGGAGCATAGGGGCAGTGGAGCAGCGCAGAAGAGGAGCACAGAAGCAACAATCTCTCACTATGTTTTGCCCCGTATTAGTGGGGCAACAGGCAGTGCAGGCTTTCCAAGGTCATTTCAGGCTTTCTGAGGTGCAGGTCGACAGCATGTGAGTCTCTTTACAGCGGGGATTTACCGGGAATTTCCGTTTCGGTTCAAGTTAGAAGGGTGTGAGACTCACTTATGAGGACTAGAGGGGCGTGTTTTGCGAACTCATCCTACGAAATATATTTTCCCAACGACGGATGTTCCGTGTGTGTTCGTCCTACAGTTATCTAGTCACTTCGAGCTTCGAATGTACGTCACTGACGTTCGTTTAACATAATATCGCCCGTTTCCCGTGCGATACGTCGTTATCGTTCGCACTAGGACGCACTAGGTCGATCTTAATGCGGCACACTGAATGACGACCCGGCCTACGAAATTCTAAGCGCCTCACATATCGCCTTCCTAGGCTTACCTACACGTGGCGTCGCCCGGCCTTGCAGCCTGCCGGTTTCGAGCGGCCGGCAAGGTCGTCTGTGGTTCTGGATTGCCAGCAGGTGCACTATCTATGTACTTTTGTCAGCTGTTGTTCCTGCAGGAGTTTGAAGGAGGTGGACATACATTTGGCGTGGAGACGCCTGAGTTTGTACTTTGAGAGGTTGTACACGGTATTCTGTGTCAGAATGGGTTATACTACGGTGCGAAGAGGATCTGAAGTCATCACACGAAATAATGTCCTACGTATGTGCTTGCTGTGAGTGGTCAGTGAATTGAGCAGGCAGTATTCTATCGAACCATTTTATGATCATAATGGAACGCGCCAGAACGTGAAGAATCTCTCTTAGCCGCATTCGAACAAATCTTTGGAGCGGGTTCTCTCAGCTCAAGAAGCCCCAAGCGAGTTTGTCGCAGGCCAAACATTTTTCGTCTACAGATTTTGGGCTATTCGTAGCCGTCAGATCAGAAGCTTAATGTTCTCTATTATAGATTTTGTAAAATCTATCCAGTTACTGTGAAACACATGATCGCCTGCGAACACAACACTCGTCGCACAACCTCCATTCTTCGCACTGTGCGTCATTCAACGGTCACCTCGATTGCTGCGGAAATCGCCCAAGTCCAACAAGTCCAGCTTTGGGATGATTTCGGGACTTCAGTTGGAGTGAAGCTCATTCCTGGGACAGCAACCTCCGCTGCTCGTCTCCTTCACGTCAGCCTCCAGACTGATCCATTTTCAGCGTCCCCGCCTTGCGTTTGGCCAACGTGCACCACAGATTGTACTGCACGGACGTCACAGATTCCATAGTTAAGGTCCAAATATTGGCTGTGGTTGAGTGGCAAAGCAGCATCACCAACGCAGCATTCACCTCCACAGAGGCTCATCTTCAGTGCGACTTAAATCTCATACTTCAGAGGCGCTTCGAAAGCCAACCTAGCAGTCAGCTCCAGAGGCTCATCTTCAGTGAAACTTCAGTTTATCTACGGTTGAAAACTCTCTTCCCGTAGACTGAGTCCTTCTCACTAGTAATAAAGGCGATATTCGACGAATGGCTCTCATTCGTCCGACATTCGTTCTGTTCGGCGACTCGCTGACGCAGCACTCGTTCAGCGAAGGCGGGTGGGGAGCGGCGCTGCAGAACCAGTACGCGCGCAAGGTGAGCCTCTTCCTCCTCACCTTGCACTGATCTCCTTCCTGAAATCCCTAAAAAACGACGATCCACGGTTCAGCTGATCCGGGCTTTTATCGGGTATAGGAATCCGACGACTCAGCGAATTCGCGTCGCTTCCAGCGTTAACTGAGACTGAATGGCCGGCACCCCGTCTCCTGCCAAATCAAGACCTGCTACCACCGACGCGTCTCGTTATCGCAACATGACTGCTGGGTCCCCGTCGCTGCACCATCGAACTCCCCACTCGCCTGAAGGCCCCTCCTCCCTTCCTCCAGACCAGCAGCAGCAGCAGCCACAGCCATTTTATCTCCATCAGCAGCAGCAGCAGCAGCAGCAGCATCATTCGCAGCAAGAGCAGCAGCAGCATAAGCTGGAGCGCCAGGAGCACCAATTCCATCAGTCCCGTCAGTCTCACACGATGGAGCATCTCCACAGACCCACGCGCTCCCACCCCTTCCTCCACTCCTCCACCTCACGATCCCTCTTCCACAGTCCGAGTCAAAAGAACTCCGTACCATCTTCCAACCCTTCTCTCCCTTCTCTCCCCCGACCTATACCCCTTCTCCCTCCCTCTCTCCGCTTCCCCTTCCGCTCTCCCCTCGCCTCCTGCATCCTCGGAGCACTGCTCTCTCAGCTGCTCTCCCTCCCCTTACTCTTCCTCCTGCTGCCGCTGCCTCCCCGTCTGCCCTCATACCACCAGGCTCCTCCTTTCCAGCCTTTTCCCGCGACCTCTTTCTCTCACAAACTCGATTTGCGGCGCTGGTTCGGTTTAGGCCAGCAGCAGCAACAGTGGCAGCAGCAGTGGCAGCAGCAGTGGCCGCAGCAACAGCAACAGAAGCACTACCATCAGCAGCGGCAGCAGCAGGTGTACCCGCCTCATCACCCCCCTGCACATCTACCCGCACCTGATCGCCCTTCCCCTGATTCAACCTCCCTGGATGCACGTGAAAAGAGTGGCACTTTGTCAAGTGAAGGGAGGGAGGGAGCAGCAGCACAGGAGAGCGGCTCTCTGACAGGTGAAGGGAGGGAGCGGGCAGCAGTACAAGAGCAGAGCAGCACTCAGTCAAGTGAAGGGAGCGAGGTGGCGGCTGCATGTGAGGGAAGGAGGACCCTGTCATGTGAAGGGAGGGCGGGAGCAGCAGCACGGGAGGAGAGCTCTCAGCCTATGGCAGGGCAGAGTGCTGCTGCTCTGGCACGAGGTGCACTGGGGGGGCGACGGAGGGCTCAAGACAGGGGGGCACTGCCATTGTCACCATCATCGTCAGAACCATCTTCTTTATTGTCATCTTCATTAGCAGCAGCAGCCACAGTAGCAGAAGCAGCAACAGCAGCAGAAGCATCGGCAACAACAGCAGCGGCGGCAGCGCATGTGGCGATGCCACCACCAGCAGCAACATCACGCTGGTCCCGGCCTGCCTTTGTGCTGTTTGGTGACTCGCTCACTCAAAGGTCCTTTGCTGGAGGCGGCTGGGGGGCTGCTCTGCAGAACCAGTATGCCCGCAAGGTGGGGTTGTGAAGGGGTATGGTGTGGTGTGGTGTGGTGAGGTGTGGTGTGGTCCCAGCCTGCCTTTGTGCTGTTAGGTCAATCTCTCACCCAGAGGTCTTTTAGCTGGAGGGGGCAGCTCTGCAGAACCAGTATGCTCGCAAGGTGATCCCTTTGCAAGGTGATCCCTGGAACACAAAAACGCAATGAACACAGCGCCCTGTCTTTGCGTTCGCTCGGTGACTTTTGAGTCGATCCAAAAGCCATCTGCAAGAAGAGGTGTTGGAACACAAACGGAATCATCACAGCGCCTCGTCTTCGCGTTCGCTTCTACTCTCTCGCTTGCACGCGGACGAGGTGTGCCTGGGTTACCGCCATTGACGGGGCACATGCAATGCAACAACGCAAGGTGACTCCAAACACCAACGCCCTGCCTTCACATCGTTCGGTGCTCTTGCTGTGTGCTATGTGCAGGCGGACGTGGTGTTAAGGGTTTACAGCTGGAGAGCAAAGCTGGAGAGGTTACAACACACACTGGGTACTCCTCCTTCCTCCTCCCCGAGCTCTCGCTTTGCTCTTTGCTCTTTGCTGTGCTGCATGCAGGTGGATGTGGTGTTACGGGGTTACAGCGGGTACAACACCCGCTGGGCACTCTTCCTCCTACCCAAGCTCTTCCCCAAGGTAAGAATTCTCAAGGTAAGAATTCTCAAGGTGAGACTTTCCCAAGGTGAGACTTTCCCAAGGTGAGACTTTCCCAAGGTGAGACTTTCCCAAGGTGAGACTTTCCCAAGGTGAGACTTTCCCAAGGTGAGACTTTCCCAAGGTGAGACTTTCCCAAGGTGAGACTTTCCCAAGGTGAGACTTTCCCAAGATGAGACTTCCTCAAGGTGAAATTGATCCGAAGGCGAGACTGATACTGCTGCCCAAGATCTTTCCAAAGTACACCTCTTTCAAAGGTCGTCCACCATTCATCATCTGCGCTGTTGTCCTTGATACAATCGCACGAGTTACAGGGTGACACCCTACTTGGCCCCGCTTTCTTCCATGCATGATGCATCCCATCCAGCATCAACGCAGCACGGTGACACTGACACATCACACAGCACAGTGCGTCAACCATGTATGCTGCCCTGCCCTTCTCTCCCATCCATATGACCGTACCCCTGGTTGCAAATATATCAGGGTGACACGTCGATTCCTCCTCCCGCGCTGGTGACTGTCTTCTTTGGCGCCAACGACGCTGCGCTGCCAGGGAGAACGAGCGGCAAGCAGCACGTGCCGATCCCCGAGTTCAAGGAGAACCTGCGAGTCATAGTCACTCACCTGCAGGTATGCATTGAGATTTGACTGGGGCATCTGCCGGTGTGATGTGCGGTGTGCAATGGTTGCTCTATAAGCTGAAGCAAATATCAGTGAAGTCAGGGCAGCAGTAAACAGCACAGCACAGCACATGCCGATTCGAGAGTTCAAGGAGAACCTGCGAGTCATAGTCACTCACCTGCAGCCTGCAAGTATGCACCCTGGTATAGGGTTCTGATCCGCATCACTGCTCCAGCTCTCGTGCTCATCTCATCTCCCCTCCCGCCACCCACCTTGCCCCCATTGAACACTCCAATCATTAGGTCCCAACTGTGTGTGTCGTGCTCATCACTCCCTCTCCTTGCTTTATGCTCTCCTCACCATCCCCCTCTTTCTCCCCTCACAACCCCCTCCTCCCCGCACAGCCACTGGGTCGCAACATGTATGTCATGCGTGCTCATCACTCCATCCCCTTGATTCATGCTCTCCTCACCATTCCCCTCATTCCTCTTTCCCTTAATATCCCCTCCACCT